ATTTTGCCGGAGCAAGACCGTTTGCTCTTTGCTCAGTACCGGTGAAAACGACGCTGAAGGGAGGAAGCGCAGTGCTGTGACTGACCGTGTCTATGTGGTTACCGTTCTCAGGATTTTGTCGAAAAGACCTGGAAGATCCTGGAAAAAGGACCAGCAACTCCATATTTATGTAACTAGCTGTAATGTTCAGTTTCAGTGCATAGCTGTGGAAACACTGAATGTCTGGTCTCAACTATGTCACGGTTATACAACGTCTTCATTTCCTGAAAGCATCTCAGGCAAAATGCTATCACAAAGAAATCATTCCCATGTTCCACACTTAACGGGAAACAATCTAGTTTATCCGGCCGTTTACCTGTGATAAGTATCCAACAGTAATGAAATAGCACAGAATCAAGGCTAGGAGACTCGAGCTACTTTTTCGCTGAGACTCCCTGAATACACTCCGTGTTTCGTTGGTCATTGCAGCGTGATCCTTTTTCTCAGGCTCCAAACCCACCGATGTACAGCCATCTGGGACCAACTGATCTTTTTTCCTCCAGAAACCAGGAGACAAGCCCATCTGTGAGCTAGTTCTGCACAAAAGCTCCGGACCGTTTGATGCAACATCCACCCGACCTCCCAGACGGGTCGTGACGAAAGGTGAGGCCCATGTTGGGGGCTTTCGTTGGCCAAGCGCCCAGGCGCGCTGGCGGAATCAAGCAATAGAGAGAAATCGTTGATTGAAAGTAGATTCGATCCACCAACCGTTCGTGGTTGACACTGATGTTTCCTGAAGACAAACCAATTATCCTTTAAAAAATAAATATATATATATATAAGGAAAAAACACAAGCTGTCCACAGTGAATATCACCTGGTCCCCGTGCATTTTTTTCAATACAGCGGAACTTCAAAAACAACATCCGGAATCCTCGGGCTCCAAACAGCTGAGCTCCTGAAGCGAGAGCGCGAAATCTTTTCACAAGGAAACACTGCTTGTGATGTTGATGTCTGTAGTGCAACTCATGTCTTCTTTTTGATGCTATATCTTTCAAGGGGAAACAACCAAACATGTCTCAGCAAACAGGCGTTTGGTCTTTGTGCTTCCTAGGATTGCTTGTTTCCAGCAGTCCAGAATCTTACTGATTTAGGTCGATATGCTCAATCCGGACCGAACTTGTACAGTCTAGCTGTCCTCGGAGGGTTGCAAATATACATCCGTCATTTTGAACCATACAGGACAAACTGAAGTCGCTTGCGGAAAGCAGCCGCTCACACTTTGGTATCTGATCTCCATGCGACACTTTATTCTACCGGCGCGCTCGAAAGGATTGGTGCCTGACTAGTACTTCATCACATTAGGAGACCGGCCAACTCAATATTGCAGCTTGATTTGTCGTTCATGGCAACTAAGCCTCTTTGACTGTCTGCTTCTATTTAGATCATGCGGATCTTTCTTTTCAATCTCAAACTATCTAAACCACAAACTAGATTGATATATATATATATATATACGTTTCCATCCGTTTCTCTTGAAATCTTCAGTTGGATCCCCAGGATCCCAGTCAGTCACCCGTACCACTCGAGCTGCAGCCAGTTTCTGACGTCGTCTTGGACGGCCGCCGTCTTGCGACTTCACCAAACGGATTTCATGGGCTCAGTGGGCATCGGCGCTGTGAGCTCCAGAATTTCCTGGGCGTAACGGTCGGACCACGAACTAGGGCCCGTCTGGGCGTCAAAGCATGTCTGAGTGAAAAGTACCATGTCTGAGTGATGATCGCAATGAGTCCAAACCAGGGGGGGCCAACTGGTTGACGTCATTCAAATGAACAGAATGGACGCCCCCCAGACATGGTCAACCAACCAGAGTTTGGGGGTTTCAGGTTTGGACGAAAACATCTCGTTTGGAGTGACCTCATGGATTAGGGACCTAATGGATCCACGAAACCCGAAAACCGGCAACGCCACGACCACGAGAAGCTCCGGTGCCGATGTTCCGCTCCAACAGCGGAAGGAACGGTCCCTGAAAGACGACGGAGCGTGGCCTGTGCTGTGAAGTCGGAAACGATCCATCGGGCAGCGTGATTTATTTCCACAAACACGTCGTTTTTTTTTCGGTGTCGGCCACAGGCTTTTCGGGACCAAAAAACATCCAAACACCAGAAACCAGATTGCTCAAATGCTCAAACCCTAGCCTAGTCTGACTGGGCCAAAACTCCCCAGTCACTTGCGATTCCCGAAATTGTGTCCACAGCAGCTCATGAATCCTCCGACAGCGGCTTCTTGAATCCTCACTCACCCAAAAGTGTCATATCCCAAACACTCCATGGATGGCATATACACCACCCCAACTGATTGGCAACTATGCAAATCCTTCCCCACGGTGGAATCCTTCACGCGGGCGAGGGAAGGGACTCGCCTGCACTTTAAGCCTCTTGGCCGTCGCGACTCTCGCTCCGGCGAACTGATGGGTTCATTGAGTGCTCAGGCGAGACGAACTCTACCCCTCGAAGGGTGTCCCCAGATCCTGTTGTGGTTGGGCTACCCCGGACGACTTGCCAAGTTCTTGAAGGGCAACACCTACTTCGGTCAAGACCTTTTTTTTTGACCACTTTGGGATCAGGAGAGAGAGCCTGCGGTGTTGACGGGTTCCCCCTTAAAAGGTTCAGTGGTGTCGCGCCGGGCAGCGCTGGGTGGGCTGCCGGGCGAAGTTACCTGGTACCTCCAATCTTGAGTTGTCAGGGCGGCACGCTGCCTGTTGTTCCACCCCGGAGTCCCTGTCACCACCGTGTTCTGTGTTTAAATATAGCTCTGGTAACTGCGCAAGCAATGGCACGCACAAAGCAAACGCATTTGGGTGCTTCTCCGACATCTCAGACACAGTGTCTCACTCAGGCTTGGAGAGCAGATTGCAGAGTGTACATCCAGATCTCGCCAGCGCCGGACGCTGCTGCTAAGGTTTTCGCGACCAGAGATGACAAAAGGAGTGTCAACTGTGAGAGTGTACGCACCAGTGGGGTTCTTGTGAGGGTCACGCGCGGTTTTTGGGCCAACAGTGACCAGGTGGTCGGTGTATTTCGGTTTCGCTACATCCAGTAGATGCCCGCTCTTCCCCAGGCGGGGTACCTTGCACGTCTCGGTGCCCCAACCAGGCATGTCCTGAGTAACACTGGGACGCCACGAGGGATGAGGGGCCATCGGCCGGTCTCAGGTTCTACCCCTCAAACCGCCTCTGGATCCTTCATTGGTGTGGTGCTGTCTGATCACTTTCCTTTGGCTCACAGAGCGCTAGTCAACTGCATCTGCGTGGCTCAAAGACCTGGCTCAATGGCAGCCAGGCGACCAGCAACCCCTGTCGGAGCCGGCACAAAGCGTAAAGTCGACCAGCTAGAACAAGACGTGCAGGCTCTACACGAAGCCCAGTCCAGACAAGGCAGCGAGCTAGCCCTTCTTAGAACCCGAGTAGACCGCATCGACAAAAGAACGAATCTGGTGGTCGAAAACTCTGCCGGTGTTGAACAAGTGTTCAAACAAGCCGAAGACTCCCGTGTGTTCGAGCACTTGGCAAAAGACGCCGCCGAAGCCTTGTGTCAAGACTTGGCCCAGAAACTTGGGTTACCGTTCCTGATCCCCGTGGACAAGACTGCCGACTCATGGACTCAGGAAACCGGCTTCGCGAGCCGAGCTCTTCCCCCGCTTTGGTTTGCATTGGTTCCGGCACTGCTTTTAGGCACTAGGTTTATCCTGCCCAACAAACTGTGGAGCACCCGAGACCAGCACACTAACCAGAGGATCCGAGCTTCCGGTCACCTTGTGTTCAAACTCGAGTTTGGTGACCTGCCTTCCAGATCTTTCGCACCCTCCGCGCTGGGTTCGGTCAGCACTTGAACGAACAGAATAGCGCCGCTCGGGATAACAGTGAAACTGACTTGCTAGCTATCTACTTCCACCGTGCCCCGGAAGAACAGCAGCGCCGCCGGCGGCGCCGAGACGGAAACAAAGGAAAAGGAAAGGGGGAAGGAAAGGGCAAGAAGGGCCGCGGTCGCGGCCGTGGCTAGTTGAACTAGAACCCCACGTGGTTCACCCCGTGCGCGAGGCACGGACTGGACTGCTAGAGGCACTAAGCCATTTCTCCAACACTTGCCAGGTCACTAGTTGGACCCTCACACTCCTAAGGTTTTCTCCTAGTCCGTTTGAGCACCACTTCCGGCTGACAACTTGCGGGTGATATGGGAGGTGGGCCGCTCGGCTACTTTTGTTTCCTGGTCTCCTTAAGTTTGGCCTGCATCTTTGGCGGCTAACCCAAACACCTTTTACGTCGTCGTCGTCGTCAACTATGCAAATCCCATAAAGCGTCTGCTGTGTTTGCTATTCTCAAAGCTTCGTTCAGCCGCATGATCCTCCGTGTGGTCTTGGCCCAAATCTCATCATGGCGCTGCAACTGACCTGCGGGGAAGAACGCACACGTGCGTCACGAAAGAAAGGGCACGTTTCTGTAGAGCATCGAGCCGACAATTGGACAGCTTTCTGATAAGGAATACTTCATACAGGAACTGTTCGTAAGGTGAAATTGTATGTCGTGGTATGGAGATGGTTGCCATAGAGACTGGACTTAGTGAGCGCTGATGGGCCGACTGGGTTGCGATCCGCCAATTCGGGTTGAAGAGGAACGCCTCCAAAAAGACCATCACCAGGAGTCCATTCGCAGATGGAGCCGCAAAAATGAGGGACTTGGTGTTTTCCGCTGATATATCCATTGGAGTAAGAGATGTGGCGGAATCCAAGCACCAGGACCGGTGCTTGGATTGGAAAAACCGAGTGACCGGTGGTCACGGTGGCCACAGTGATCCGGTCATCCATCGGGTGAAGCTTTGGTTCGGGTCCAAACCCCGAAAGGACCAGCTTGGCTCCAGCTTGCTCTGCGGGGAGTCCAATGATGGTTAAGCTGTAAAGATATGGCAAGTGAACCAAAGTTTTTTGGGATTGAAGCTTTTGGATGTGATCCACATTCTGGCTCAATCATCTGGGAAGGACGACCTGCCAACTGTCTCGGAACAACTTACAGTAGGCTGCCTCGGCAAAGAATCTAAAGCCGTCCTTTCCTTTCACCGACCTAGATAAGGTATGGCATACAAAACCAGTCTCTTGAACAACCCAGGCACGGTCAATGCCATCGCCCCAGCAAACAGTGGTGTTCTGGCTCATGGCGCAGGAGTGTTGGTATCCACAAGCCACGTCAATCGCATCCTCGCCAGCGAATCACAGAGTTTGGGCGGATCGGCTGATCGATGCAAGTGGAGCACGTTCGAATCTTTCATACCATCAAGAAAAATCGCTGTAAATGTAGTCACTCAAAGAAGTTGTAACATTTCAATCTGAACACGGCCTGGGTTCGGTTCATGTCGAGGCTGAAGGCAGTCCGACCAAAGCATGTTTTAAAAAGGCTAGATGTCATCCTGACCAAGCTCTTGAGAAAAATAGGCCCTTTGCTGGCTCCATCAAAGCTAAGAATCAACTGCCAGCTGCCCAAAACCAAGGAACCTTCAAACCTTCACTCTGTGCAGGAAGTTCTGGTACCTGTTGCATCCTGTCATCCTGTTGCAAAAAGAAACAACATGTCTCTTGTTGATGGGGCACGTCGGGAAACTCTCTACTCCCTCGATTGAGTCGATCCACTGACCAACCCACGTGCCACGGGCAAGCCGACCGCGCGGCTCGTGGCGCGTCCTCGATCCCCTCGATCTCCACGGGAAAAGGGCTACTCGATCTCTGTGTGCCATTGAAGGATCCCAATTGCCCGCGCTCGCCCCAGCCCCAACCTCGATGTCCGGTCGCAACACCACCCTTCAAAACACACAACGCTTCTAACATGCTCGGGAACCCCTAGCAATCTCAGGAATCCTTAGGGAGCTCGAATTTCCTGGTACCGAGAATCGACTTCAGTCGAGTCCAGTGACTAGAAGTCGACCAAATTAAGCACAAGTGATGCCACAGTACAAAACCAAAACACTCCATCTATGGAGTATTGACCTACCTTGACCCCTGAAACCACCTCAATGCATGACAATATGCCACTGTCATGGAGTGGGAAATCTATGCATTCCCAACATTCCTTCCAGTGACCCAAGCAGCCGGAGAAAACTCTCGGCAAATCCAAGTGGTCGATCATGTTGGAAGGTTCGCCAACAACTATGTTCAGCCGGTAGTCCATGGTAAGCCCTGAACATTTTCACATGCTCTTTTCTGGAGGCAAGCCCAGAACAAAAGAAATGACATGCATGCTCTGAAGAAGGTGATGTTCTTTCGATCCCAACACGTCCCAGTGGGCACTCACAGTGATCACCTTTGGAGTAGACCCCTCTCGAGGAGAGAACCATGTGGGTAGATGTTCACCGTAGAGCACCGGGAGTCGTGAACCAGTGTCTTCTCCTTCAGTCTTTTCATGTCTTTTCCATGAACCTGCCAGTTCCATGGTCACCCAGAAATTATGTGTGTACACCCAACTTCTGATCAATCTGGACGACCCGTCCAAAAAAATGTTACCTCATTGTTTTCTGTAAAACTCCACAACATCAGCAGAGCACTGAACCTACTTGCGATGGCCTCCAACCTAGTTGCGATGGCCTCCAACCTAGTAGCAAAAAATCTGGAGAACAAAACAAACAAAACAATCTCATATCCGGTCATATCCCAAGCCGCACTTCACGGAGCCACCAGTTTCCACGGCGCAGCTATGTAAGCCACCCGAACAAATCGCGATGGCGCTGTCCTCGCGTCACTGAGGTCACATGGACTCCCAGTCTGCCCCAGTCGTTCCAGGTATGGTGATCCTATATTTGATACAAACAGTTGTTTAAACATGTTTAAACTCATGAAGACATGACACACAAAAAAATACGAAGCTTCAAAGACCATGGTTTTTGGCAGGATGGTGAGAGTCCTCCCCATGTTGCATGTTTAACTACGATGGCGAGAGACCAGCTTTTGGGTCGAACACATCCAGAAAGCGAGTTCGGTGGAGCTCAGTGTTTTCTGGCCCGCTCCTGGCACCATCTTGCACCGTTGGAACGCCCAACCACCATGAATTTGTGACCCAGCAAGAGACATGAGCGCTAAAGACTTACTGCATACACAAAAATGGGGCGTCCTTATTACCTTATCATCATGTTTCAGATCGGTCTCTCCTCCCAACAACAAAGTGAGCCCATCATGAATACAGAAAGATCCTGTTTTGAACACATTGTCTATAGAGGGTATCCTCTGTTGGCACACAGACACGGGTCTAAATTGTTGGCACCCAGGTCGTTCTGCAGGATACATTGATATGGCTTAACTAATACCATCTGTTTGTGATTGGCTATATCTATATAGAGGACCACACTCTTCTAGCACTCTTCTGAGCTCGGGCCATTTCATGCATTGGTTCTTCGCTTCAACCACATCCTTAAAAGGTATCATGTATAGGGACATAGTATCAACCCGCATCGCTCCCTATACAGTCACCTATCCTATATAGGATTTCTCGTTTGGCTCAACCCAAGCCCTTTGTTCCACCCCCCCTCTTCTGCACCAGCACCGGCTACACCGCGCTTGCCGGCAACGGAGACTTTGCGTTCGTCCGAGGTGCCAAGTGCTGGACCCGGAGCGGGTAGAGCGAATCCCGTGTCCGCCCATTGCCCAGCTGCCCAAACTCGCCCCAGCCCCAGCAGCGCACGGCGCCGCCCGCCTCACCAGATTGGGCCAAACACCCACAGCTGGTGAGCCGAAGGCATGCGGCAGGAGAATTCTGTTACTTTTGGGGCAGTCTGTCATTTGGAACAGTGTCTTTAGGTTAAACAATACAGCTACAATAGTTGTAGAGAAGTTGGTTGTTGGATGATCATCCTTTTAGGGTCCTTTTCTCTATATATAGCCTCAGCATATGCATCTGTCTCCCATAAATCTACCTTGTTCGTCTTTGCATCACGTCCTCCAGCCATTTGCATCTCATCATCCCGTGTCATGCCCCTCCCCCCGCCTCCAGCGCGCAGGTATGCGATCCCCCCGCGCGCACGTCCAGCGCGACGCCCAGCTGCGCCACAGGGCGCGCGTCGTGGCGGCGGGAGCGGCCGCCGAAGCCTAACTGGCCATCCTGCCGTCGTGGCGTCGGTGGACGGAAGGCATCAGCGTGGAAGTCAAGGACTTTTGGGATGTTTGTTGATGCTTATTTTGGGATCATTTTTGTTGGATGTTTTTATGAAGCCTAAGCCCAGTGAAGGTCAGTCAAACTGAGTCCACTCAGCATTTTGGGCCTGTTGAGGTTTGGAGTTACGGATAGTTGATCCACGCAGCCAAGCTTCACATGCACACAAGATGTTCACACAGGCAAGACATGGTCTTTGTACCCAAGAATCCGCTTCAATCACCACCAAAACACCTTCCAAAGTCCCCGAGGTGTGGACCCCTTTCGAGATTTCACACCCAAAAGCGCTGTCCTCCCAGCTTCAACCCGACCAAAACCGGCCCCACTGGAGAGTCCGTCCTCACCCTTGCCCCAGCACTTGGCGCGTCCAGACACTTCCACGGCACACGAGTGGAGGCCACCAGCAGTGACCACCAGGGAGGGGCCCAGACCTCGTAACGTGGGCGGAGTCGGTTCCCCGGTCGGCGTTGGGGATGTGGAGAACGTCGCCCGAAGGTTCCGTGAAGCGCCACCGAGGCGGGGATGCTTTTGCTTGGTGCCCAATTGATGAAGTGATCCGCCACCCACCCTGTGAGACCTTTTGAAGTCCCTGGCAGTTTTGTAGCTTTTGTTATTGTTGGTCACTGACGCAGACTGACGCCTTTGAACAACCACAGGCAGTGGATCTCACTTGCCAGCTTCAGCATGGCAAGTAACACATTCACACAGTGAACCAATCTACGATGCTCTACGTGGAGTTGGCGATCAATGGTCTCAGACACAAACACGGACACGCAGACAGTTCTGAGTTCTGAGATTCTTCTTTGGTCTGAGAGACCCTGAAGGGATCTAAGCCTAAGGGATGTCTACTCATCGCCCCTTGCAAGTCAAGCGATGTCCAAGAACCACAAGCTCTGTGGGTCTTGATGTATTGCAAGCTGCGTTGCAGTGAGCTCTTTGCAAGGAACAGAGGAAAAGACAAAAAAGAGCTCGATATAAACTGCAAATTAAGCACAGACTGTGACATGCGCACACAAAGAACTTGCTCTTTCTACTGGAACCCGCATTTACGTTGTGAATCTGCGGTGCTTGGATCATCCAGGCCGCCTTGCACCCGCACGGGCGTGTGGCTGGAGCGGGCTTGGTTGTCACCCAGCTGGCCGAAGTCGCCTCTCCCAACTACAGGACGAGAGCCGGTTGCAAACTCAATGTCAATGGATTCAAGATGATCTACAGAATCTACAGTCTACAGATCATGTAGAAGCTTGATGTTCACCGAGGGAATCCGATCATCTTGAAAAGACCGGTTCTTGAGCAAGATACAGCAGGACTCCACATGGTGGACACTCGAACTCCACACACCTATCAAACTCCATGGCAGAAAAGGTTGGTCCCTCTTTTCATCCATGTCCAACCTCAGGTCTGTGGATGTCCAAAAACAAATCATTCATGAACCAACAAAACGAAGCAGGTCAGTTCAGCAAACAATCCACGTTTCCCGCCGATTTCAAGCAACAAAACAATCAAAACACCAAGCTGTCCAGTGAGAAACGCAAAACGGCTGACACATCAGTGCTGACTAAACAGAACTTGGACTATGTGGCCCTCTTTGTGTAACCCCAAACCAGTGCCTTGGACGGGCCTCGCACGCCGCACGCAGTGCGCGACTCGTGCCGTCGTGCCTGCTCCCCAGCACACCACCTCTTTGCTCGCCTGGATCCTCGGCGTGATACCGGTGATAGCGGTGACCACAATGGTAACATCGGTGATTGAAACCTATTGAAACCTTGAATCAATGACTGCATGTCACCTTTTTTGGGTGAACAAATACATATACACCCTAGGTCGATTCTTGATTGATGGATTTGGATGAGGATGCTTCGGGACTGACAGAGGCCCGGCGACGAAATAAAGATTGTTATCATGTTTGGAGGCATGGTGTTAATATATCTCCGGATCGTCTTTTTGAACGCAGTTGCAACTCCGGGCCTGAATCAACTCAATCTGGTTCAAGTGGGTTTTAGACTCAATCTGTCAATCTGTCTCGATGAACTGGTATTGAGACTCCAAGGTATGTTGATTCTAGTGATTCTAGTCTATGGAAGCATTTGGGGGTCGCAGCTGTCACAGCCGGTCGCAGCTGGAGTCACAGCCAGTCGGGTGGGGATCACACGTCCACAAAACATGCCGATGCAAATGGCGCCTTGTCCGCGCATCAGACATCACAGACGATGTCTGAATCAGATGGGCCCCACAGAAAAATCATGGAAGAACTCGTCCGAATCATCCAAAGGATATGATGTGTGTGTGTGTTGTGTGTCTTTGCCTGCCAGAAAAAACCCGCCTGTTGAGCGAAGCTGGTCCTTCCGACCGGCTCCGCGGCTCCATGCCTTCCGAGTCTCAAAGCGCAGAGATGTTGCCCTCCGGTGCTGATGGTGCAAGCGCCTGGAAAGTCCTGAAGAGGCTGTGAGCTGGACCAGCTGGATGTGAAACCCTGAAGGGTTCGTTTGATCAAAGGGTCCTGGTCGTTGGTTTCCTGAGTTTTTGGGGCTTCGATGGTTGAACTTCCTCCGGGGCTTCGGCTCTGCTCTTCCTTCCGGTTCCTCCACCCTCCACCTAAGACTATTTGATGGACACCCTCAATCACCACGAAAGCTTCACCACCCGACGGGACATCTCCCTTTCTCGGCCGACGGGGACCCCCCTTTCTCCTCATCTCCCAAGTCTTGTGCAGAGACCAGTGTAAACACTGCGAGGATGCTCAGCATGAATGGCAAGCACTGTGAATTCTGCGTGAAATCAGTCCGCAACAAGTCTCGGTGGTTGAATTAGCATTCTGAACCCACCATATTCTGTAGTTTGAAGGCTATCCATTATTTAGCTGTGGACTTTCAAAAGACAATCGTATGATTTAAAAGACTTTTTCAGCTAGACCTTGTCATCTTTGGAGTATGCTAACCCCTGACTGCTAGCTTCATGTTGCATACAGGTTGCGTTTCCAAACGAAGCTTGTCACATCCTAGGAATGTACCGAATTCTCCGGCAAGTGCACAACATTATGAAAGAAGCTGCATACGCAACACAAGTGCGACAAGCTGCCGTTTCTTGATCCCAAAATGCGTGTGAAGGACCGAGCAAAGTGAAATGCCATGTGCCTGCCTCCCAAAAGGAGAAAACACTGTGGTGAGGTCCTGTTCTTTTGGAAATGAGTGAATTGTATGTAATTTGTTGGGGAGGGGAAGGAATTGTGTTCCTTTCATTTGTGGTTGTTGTGAGGAGGATGTTCTGTTCCTTTCAAAGGTCTGTCTAGCACGTGCTACAAGAGAAAGGAAAGGCAACAATCACAGAAAACAAATCACATCCCTGCTGCCAAATTAAGGATTCTGCTATCGTGCTTCAAAGGGAAACAACAACTTCAAACAACGATTTTGAATCAAAGCTGCAACAAGACTCAGATTGTGCTTAGACAAAACCATCACTTCATGCTAGGCTGGCAGGACCTGGCTGATGTGAACACTGGGTTCTGGCTCCATTGGTATGGAAGGGAACCCAATTTTTGTGATACCAATCGCGGTTGTTTCTTTTCTTGAGGTGTACTTCTGTCACCAAGACAAGCATACACTAATATCGTGCACATTCAGAGCATCAAAACTAGGGATTACTGCCCTTGTGTCACAGGAAGTACGACATACCACGAGCCCCATGATTCCTCCTCTCAAACAGATGGGAGCACCAAAAAAATAGACAAAAGAACCCTGGAACATCCATCTAGTGCCATGACCTCCATCTGACCCCCTAGTGCCATGTGTCCAACGGATCGGACGGAAGCGGCCATCGGGCCGGCGCCTGCTGGAATGCAAGCGTTCGGAGTCGATCGCCTCCATGCAGTAACGGCCCTGCAGGCGTTTTCTTGGGCAGACGTGGGCAGCCGCCATTGGTTTCTCCAACAGGGAATGCTAAAAATGCTGAAGTGAAGGGAATTGATAACGATTTGTAAGCACCTGACTATTGACAAGTACATTGTGTTTGTCTCGTGATGTCCGTTCTTCTACACGAAAGGACCACCCTGTTCGGCCTCCGCCCACGCTTCCCCACCCGCGGGTCCCACCTCAATCCGATCCTTAACCACCAGCGCCGTCTCCACGCAACTGGACGCGGGTCCACGGGTCTGGGAGATCAAGTGGGGTCTGTGCGTTTTCAGGCAACGTCGTGGGCTGCGAAGGTTTCAAGCTCCCGAGTTCCCAAGCTCCCAAGCTTCGCCCTCTGAGTCCGCAGGATTTGTTGCGTTTCGCAAACATGCGGACTCCGTCTGATGAGTCTGCTGATGAGTTTTCTGATATTCCAGGGACGTTTAGACACAGGGCTCAAGAGGGGCGTTTCGACCCAAAGGTGCCTTTTCAGCGGATGACGAAGCTTCGGTTGCGGATGTTTGTGTGGTTCACAGACCCAGACCAAGGTAAGCCGAACCAGCGGCCAACAAGAAAGCAACCACGAGGTTTCAGGTGTATATATATATATATACACTAACACCCCTCCATGTCACCTTGACTCAACAACTCTCTAAGCTCTCCATCAAGAGTCCACGGCTTTGCAAATCAGCTCCATGCCAACAGAGAATACGGAAACATAGCCCCAAGGCAATTCTTGTGGTGTTCTCTCTGCATCGCTGCATCAAATCGCATGTGTGATGGCTGTATCTCCCAGCTGCCATGAGCAAGAAAGAACTCCCCTCTCTTTTTTGAGCCGATGTCTTTCCGCCCGAATGCTGGGTGATCAAATCAGTAGAGACCCAACCGTGGCCGTGCGCCGACGCAGATCCGACGAACTGCGCCTCTCCGGTGCTGGGCACAAGGAGGCCAAGGATTTGAGCTTCTCCCAGGCGCGGGCAGCCTCGGAATGGTTGGCTTTGGCAAGGCGACGGTCCACTTCGAAGCATCCCTGGTGGGCGTGTTCGATGGGCTCAAGCAAATGCTAAAGCTTGGTACTGGGAAAAAGTCAAAATAGACTGGGAAAAGATTTAGCCAGGTCTGGTGGTTCTCCTCTGTGAAAGCCACCAAATGTTGCCAGCAAGTGATTCGCCTAAAGGCGTAAAGTAAAGGTGTTAACTTCCACCATTGTAGGCCTGTGCATGATCTGAACCTATGTTTGCCTAATGAAAGCCTTAGTACTGGATGACGAAGTGGTTGAAGGATGTACTAGTAGAAGCCATGTGTGATACAGTACTTGAGATTTGTGACATGTGACATGTGTGTTACGGTAAGGTCCAAGACAATCTGACTTTCAGATGCACCCAAAATTTGAACTTATATATAAGTCAATTGAGTCCAATAAGTACCCAGCCACTTCCAGAAAAAACAAAACAAAAAAAACAAAACACTGCCACTCTCCCCTCTACTGCCGGTTTCCAGGATCTGGGTCCAGCGTAGGTCCGCCGTTCATCGTTGACCCCCCAAACAACTGGACTGGGTGCACATGGACCAACCAATCCTTTTCAACGCACGTCAGTTTTTTCCGGGTCCTACCAGGTCCTACCATCTCCAAAAGCAATCCCAACCAAATGCCCTTTCAACCGATAGCAGACTTCGTCCCTGAATCCACCGATAGCAGTTGCGTGACACGGCGCTAGGCTTCAGCCAGGTGAACCGTTTCGTCGCGTGGACTTCGGTCACTCCGGATCCGATCCGATCCACGGAGCTCCGCGCGTCCGCGTCCGCGGGAGATCTGCGAACCGAAGAACCGTGAGATCTTCCAGGTTGAAGCCATGAGCCTGGCCAGCGCTGGCCAGAGTTTCCCCCGGAAGGGAGCGGAGGGAGGGAGGAGACGGACTGGAAACCGTCTGGGCGGCGCTGACAGAAGCTAGCAGCCTCCGCACCCAAGCGAAATCTGTGTCTTTGTGTGTTTTCTCTCCGAAACTAATAGGAGCACCCGTTGTCACATCGTTCATGTCATGCTTCTTCCAACAAACCCGCCCTTCAGCGATGTCCCAAGGAGTTTGAGGAAGCGCCAAATCCCAAAGCCGACGCGGACCCTGCGGACCGTCCACAGACCACGAAGGCTACCCGATTCTCCACACACCTGGACATAGCTGGACTCGACCGTTGGATTCCCAACGGCACCGAGAACATGCCTCCCCAGTCGTCCATCCCCTCATGGGTGGTTCTTTTTAGTCACCTCACAGGTGGTCCAAGTGTACTTTCCGATCGTCTATCCCTCCTGATGTGAGCCGTTTCTCCTTCCGGCCTTTGAAAAATCCCACCACCTTCTCAGAACGTCTTGTGGATTCTCATTCTGGTCTTGTTCCTAACGCTGAGGCCGGAAAAAGCGGCACCGGGCCTTGTCTGCCCCGCGGCGTCCCTTCTTCCGGCGTGGCGTCCCGCTGGTGCCGGAGCGCGCCTGAAGGCTTCGCAGAAAAGAAATCGAAACTACAAGTCCTCTGTGAAGGTGGTGTGGGATGATTGAAGCAGCTGGGTGATCAACTCAACTCCAGGATCAACACACATTCTTATGTGGATCCCTCGATGGGGCTGTACCAAACAAAAACACTGCCACTGTTCCAGATTTGCTGCTAAACTCAAATACACGATCTATTATGTAGGGGCCCTATCTCGCTTTAGACTACTTGAGTAGGAGGTCATGTCACCAGATCTCGTTCAAACTACTTTGGTAGAAGATCACAGTAATTATCGTGTTCGGACTACTTTAGTGTCATCAAACAAAAATAAACAAAGTATCTTCTTGAATCTGAGGGCCCTATCTCATTCACCAGCGAATACTGATGTTGGACAAACAAACAACAAACAAAAATTACACATGCCGCAATGCCCGCTTGAGTCAGAACCATGTCTATAAAAGGTGCTTGCTCAAATATCACGAAACATGTGTTGTGTGTGTGTGTTTCCTCCTTTGGCTTGCTGGGGGGCGCGAAGAGGGGTTCGGGGGTCCGCGCCCGTGCACCGGGGGGGCGTTTGTGTCAGAACACGCCTGCTTCTTGGAGGCGGGACTATCCATGAGCTCATCTTGGACCTCGCGGCGCTGCTTCCGGGCCACGGAGCGCCGCTTCCGGTTTGGGCGGACGACGAGGGCGACCAAGGGCTGGCCCAATACAAAAGAAGCGCTAGCGCGCTTGCGGTCTAAAGTGGTTTTCAAGACTGCTCGAGTGGCCGAAACCAGCGGCTGGTTGTGTCATACTTTGAGCCAACACAACGACTGGTTTTCCGCAAAACATCAATTACCTTGGAAAGGGCAGTTGAGGTACCTCCGTTCTGGAGCTTCTCTGGTTTCTTCTATTTTGTATATCTGGTTGTGGGTCTAACGAAAAACCAAGCATTTGGTTGTGGTCACACATGTCACGCAAAATCATGTTCGTTGCGGAAATCAAACAACTTAGCCACACCCAAGCAAACCAAGAAGACTCACGCGCCAGGATTCTTCATCACTGAACCCAGCACATTTGAACTAAACCAAGCCTTTGCGGATGGTTCATCACTGAACTCAAACGAAACATCCACCAAGAGCCGCTTCCTTTGAAAAGTGTGCGCTCCAAGAGCTGAAAAAACACCTTGGAGAAGAGTTCACCGCCGTTTTTGGCACTTTGCTCAAGCCGTTAAAACAAACAAAGACGTGATTTCGGGTGGAATCCAAAAGTTCTTCTTCGGCCAGTCACAGTCTGCTTTGGTGGCCAGTGGGCCTCGGGTCACAAGCTGAGCAACTGGACCGGCGCCTCGAGTGGCCACGGCCCTTGCTCGCTCGCGGGTCACGGCATGAGAGGCGAAGGCGGTGAGCGGGTCACGGCTGCGACGATTGTGCTGAGGTGTTTAGGACTTTGTTCATGCCTAGACCATCCATGGGCCTGGCTTATTTCACATTGGAGTGGTTTTAGGGGACCCTAAACAGAGGTTGAACAGCCTTTATACAACCATTCATAGATAATCAAAAGCCCGTGCTTTCCCGCATGAATTCCCACGAACTGAGAAACCCTTTGAGTTGGTGTACTCTTGTTTTGCTCTTGGCCGCTTCATCTGGTCCGGGTTCGTCTGCCCGTCTGCCGAAACCGTGTCGTTCCTCTCAGCCTCCGTGCCTCGATCCTTTGTTGGATGCTGGTGGGGCAAAAGCTGTTGCATCTTATTTGGAATGTGTCTTGTTAAAACACATATATGTGTCTTATTAGTTCATCTATAGGGAAGCTGCTGCTGATGATATACATCCAAAAGACGACAACTGCGGAGGATGCTTGGAAGCTTGATCACATTAAATGGCTTGTGCTGGTGGATTGGGAGCGTGGAAAGCGCCTGCTGAAAACTATGCCTGGAAAAATAACTTGAATTCCTGGCAAAGCATGAAGTATGCGTGGAGCCCAAACGGGCTAAGCCGTAGAGCGCCAGGTCCCTCTGTACCCGTCCAAGTCCCTATCACTGTAGTGATTTGGAAGTTGAGAAAAAAGGCTTCCACAGCTCACAAACTGTTGGACGGGGCTTTTGCTAAAAGGCATGTGTCCAAAAGAAACATTTGAAGCACAACACTCATCCAAAGTAATGCTTGCCTGAATAACACCGGAAACTTGTCAAGTTCGTGCAGAACCTTCTGGAGAATTCTGCCCTTTTCCGGCGAATCCTTCGCAGAGCTTCACCCGAAAAAGTCACCCAACAGGGACGCAGGAACGCTGGGCATTTTGGACATGAATCAACACCTAGATTAACCCCAGTAGTTTAGAGAACAGCATGTCAAGCACGTTCTAGTATGGGGTGCCGGTTGTTCCCATGGTCACTTTCACTGCTTGTTATATTACATGGTGTCTTTTGCCCATGAATGCCAACGGAGAGAAAATCTGTGAACAGCTAAAAATAGTCAAAACTCCACAGTAAGTAAAGTCATGGGGAAGCAAAGGGAAGCAATGTAGAAAAAGAACAGAGGACCCGTGCGTGGAAGTATTGGAAGTAACTTGGACCTGTCGAATCACTGCTAATCAAACGTGTCAAATCGAACACCACACGGGACACGGGTCCTACCGACTCCTACGCGCGGTCCACGTGTGAGTCTCAGACCCTGTCGTTCCCGCTGTTGGCTGGTGTCTCTCAGCGCGGGGTCTCGCGGGGCGTCGTGCGGGGTGGTTTTTCGTGCCTCTCTGGAGCGCGGAGTTGAGGAAGAACTCCCTGGCGATCGAGCCGAAGATGCCAGTCTCAGCAGGCAGAACTCCCGTTGTTGCCCTGGACCCTGGGGTGTGTTCATGTCCTTTCATAAATCAAAACAAGCGCTGCGGTTCTGGGAGCTGCAACAGAACGAAGCCGACCAAAGGAACGACCAAGACAGCCAGCCAGAGACCCAAAGGAGCATCAAACCAACAGGTTGTGGTGATGGCTCCAAATGGAGGATGTCTTCAAGCTTTCGGCAAGGCTTCTTACTTCCACTCCAGCCCTTTAAACACAAGATGTACCAAACAACAGACACAACAACTCACAACAACCCAGCCTCACCCACCCTGGTGGACCCTGCATTGCACTCCTGCGCTTTCACTGGACGTTCAATCATTCCTGCGCTCCCACCACGCGCGAATCCCGCTGTCCTATCCGCGAGGCTCGGCGGTCTGGAGGCCCGTGGTCCCAAGCAAAGCGCCTGCAACGGCGACGGCCCGGCGGCCGAAAACGGCGCCGCCTCGACCCCGCCCCGCATCGGTCGTTGGACGGAGTCGGAGGGCCGAAAAACCGCCGAAACACCAGACATGCAGCTCCGAAACACCAGGCAAGATCTGAATACAGTAGTTAGTTACAATGTTGCCTTGGGGGCTACCAGGATGTGGGGGGTTTGGTCGGAGAGTGGGGCTACAGGTTCAACAACCCAACCACTTTGCGGCCTACGAGCCTCAAAACAGCTAAAGCGGCTTAAACTGCAACAAGCATTTGTGGATGACTCTCCCTCTGTCAGTCTAGGGTTATATAGTTTCTTCAATAATAGGGAATTGGTGGATCAGCAAATGAAAAGCTAACGGGGGTGGCACAGAAAACTCGCGTAAGATCTCTTGGTCTGGATTGCCGCCTCAAACGAACAAACTTCGGGACAGGTCTATGGACTGAAACGACACAAGTGCTCCCAACTTGACAGACTTGACGTAAGCATCCTCAGGCTTGACCAAACATTCTGCGGCTGTTCCAATGTCTAGCCGCTAGCCACTCTCTGGACCTCTAACCCTACAAAGGCAGCCGCTGAATGTGGAGAGTTCAAACTTTGAGCAGCGGCACCCCAAATGGAGATTCTGAAGGATTGCACTTGAGCACAATCTACAATATGTATGGGAGGAATACACCAAAGAACTGGCAGGCACTTTCGACATCCCTGGAACGCCTATACACAATAGTGTCATTCACCACGCAGCAGCTGCATGTAGTCATAAACAAAAAGCAATATATAGTTTCTGTTCAACTTGCTCGACCATCCTCAAATGTGTATCTCTGTGTGTGTGTGTGTCATCATACCTGGATCGCCTAGAATCGTAAATTGCATCAACAAAGCAAAGGGTTGCTTTGAAAAGTCCTGGCCCTCAGTTCTTGGCAAGGGAAGGCAACCACTGTTCACAACTTTCTCCTACGTCGACGTCCAGGAGTGACTCAACGGCAAAAATACGACTAAGGATTCACTCATCCAGTCATTCTTACTCTCTGAATCAACCCTGGCAGGACCGCCTAGGCTCCGGCGAGGTAGCGCTGGTACTCGTGCGCTCTCGGACCTGGAGGGAGCTCTGGAACCGAGAGGTAAAGAGAGCTCCTTCCGGGACCTAGCAATTCATGGCTGGAAAAACAAATCCCCAGCGATTCATTCCGAGGCATTTGGGGTGGATTCATCAATTTGTGGTCATAGCACAGGGCTCAGAGTACATACCTCCGGTTCAGTTTAGTGTGAGGCTCGGGTGATTGGCCATGTACCAGTTTACTGCACTTAGGGTTAGAGGGGACAACTGACCCCGCTAAGTTAGGGACAAAGAAATTTGGGCAACGAACAAATATGACGAGTTCTCGCACATCATTTACAGTACATTCCTTGTGCGTCAAGCCACGTAAGCACACGGGCGGCCAAGCTCACGAAGGGCCAAGCCGTATGTTGGGCGCTTCGCCCAGTTGCCTTTGACCAGTTCCCAAGTGGTCTGTATTTGGCGTCCTGACCAGGCCCTATATTTGGCGTCCTTGGCAACTGGATAAATTGGGCTTCTTGCCCTGGGCAGTCACATCAGTCAACCTTCACGATTGCTCGATTGTGTGTCACACTTTGGGCTCCATTTTGTTGATAAAAAAGAAACGTCATACCGATACCATCGATTTTGCCTTGTTTAAACGACGGTTGCCTTCCTTCCGTGCTTAAGCACTTTCGCTGGGAGAAGATGTTCATTGATACAGGTTTATAGCCTGAAAATGGAGGATTGAGCTTGGCAATGCTGCATGATATGGATGTGTAGAGGAGACCTCCAAAGAGTCCACAATGGTAAAACGAACGAATCAAATCTTTCAGCCTACAACGAAAACCAAACGATTGGAAGGGGGGTTCTCCTTCTTCCATAGTACACACCCGCAACCAAATGTCCTTCTGAAGCACCTTACATCGGCGTTTCCCAGAACCCGGCGACCGCTCCAGTCGCCTCCAGCGTCTCCAGCATCTCAGCCGCGCTGCCTGCAGGGCGCAGCCGTCGCAGCCGTCGCCGGGAAGATCTCAGATCTCGCTAAAGAGGAAGGTGTAGAAAGTTCGAGCAGTCTGGGTGGTTGATCGAACTTTCCAGTGGGCCAATTGACTTGCCAAGTTGATAAAGTAGAATAGTGAAGGGCCGATTGATGAATACCTCTATGGTATGGTGTCAGGTCTGCTCTTGGTTTTGCCTGTCTCATCGATGGCATTGACGCTCTCAGCTGGCCTTTCTTCTCAGGCAGAAATGGAGCGGTCACCACTGGCCTGCTTTGAGGGCAAGGCGCATCAAACCCTATCCATGTGGTCTGGGACCAATATACAGGTGTGAATTAAAATACCCATACTCAGATCCAGGGAGTCTTGCATGTAGAACTAGGCTTCTGGTCACTGGTTTCTGTCGGTACCTGGCCCAATCAGCTCTGAGCCCCAAGCTCTTGCTGAAATCTTCCACCCAAGTACCACCAATTCTGTTTGCTTCCATCTACGAGTAAACCGAACACTGCTCTCTGCTAAAGGGCATCCTACAAAATGAGGCATTCAGTTGCGGGCACATTGAAACTCAGGGTTGGCTAAGATGATGCCAGGGTGGCTAGGTGCTAGTTTATGGTGGGATAACTCCCTCCTGGACAACTGAACGATGTCCTCCGGATGAGAATTTTCTGAGTCTGTCCTCCTAAGCACAGTTTTCGCCTGCCAACTGATCCTGAACCTCCCATGACCTGGGTCCCTCCACGCCTAATGCACACATCCCGGAAGGGGTTCTCCAGGAAGAGGCTCATGCGTCTTTCACAGCGCCAAGACAAGGATCACAAGATGACGCTGGCAAGCGGCTGTTTCTGCTGTCCAAAGGGTGACTCTAACCCTTTCAAGGCTTGGTGGTGAGTTTTGGCTTGAGGCTTGATTATCTGCGTTTGGCACGATGAGATTCAGTGACGGCATGATGCAGGATCTGGGCTCAAATAAAATCAAATACAGGTAGCAACCTATTGTGGTATGTTTGGTCCGGGTTCAAGGTTCAAGGCCTAAGAACAGTTTCAACACTGTGAAAGCAAAAAGGTGGCCGCTATCCTCCAAGTCTGTGGGGAGAAGTTAGTCACCAGTCAATTTGCCTGGCAAATCTTGCTCTAAGGGCCATCTACTTGAGCCTTCAAAGCAAAAACAGAGCAGAACTGAACAAAAATATCAATATATAATGTATACCTGGATCTTTTGCTGGGTTCCCATGCAGTGTGGAGTAGCCATCGGACAGCTCCTAAGTGATCGCAGCTTGCAGCGGCGGTTGAGAGGTTTTTTTCCCAAGCGATGAACAAATTTGATTGGTGGTCAAGAAGGGAGCACTGTGCATCCCTGGTGTTCCAACTACTTCCGTTTCGAAGGTCGTTGGGGTGGGTGCTGGGGGGTCTAACTAACTACCTTCTGAGGATGTGGTAGCCTAGGGCATAGACCATGTAAGGTATTTGGGATAGTCAAGGGACAGTTCAATCAAGTCGAGTCCCACATTGACCAAATGAAAAATGTCTAAAGACTCTCCATGCTTCGCCTCACGTCCACGAACTTTGGTGGAACATGCCCCAAGGAAATATGACCCAAACGGACCGCTGTTTTGCACCCCACCAACGCGACTTCGTTGGTGTTGACAGCCAGAACTTTGAGTGCTTGATGCATCCCCAAAACTATAAGGGGCTATACAGTTATACATATAATATGGTTCCCGGCCTCAATATGTCAATGCGATTCAAGTGTTCCCTAGTTGGTTCCAGGAAATTGTTTGCACATGGGGATTTGCAGGCATCCGGAGTGAAAACGCAAAAACCCACGAAAACCTAAAAACAGTGAAAACAAACCACAAAAACCGCGAAAACCAAGAAAAAGAAAAGGGAGGCGCCGTAGTAGAGGTAAAGGTCACCCCCCTCCAAGAACAAATTTATCGGAAATATCCTCCATACTAGAAGCCTGACATATTTATTCTGCCAAAGGCCATTCAAGAAAGCTCTATATAGTTCTGGTGCGAGCCACAAAAAATTGTCCACAAGGCTGCTGGCAAGGGCGTTCTTTTCCTCTCCTCTCCTTTTCTTTCTTTTCCTTAACTTTTCCTTTTCGCTCTCCTTCCTTTCCCTCTCCCTTCCCCTTCTCTTTTCTTTCTCTTCCATGCCCTTCCCTCGCTTCTCCTTCTCCTTCTCCTTCTCCTTTTCCTTCTCCTTCTCCTTCTCCTTCTCCTTCTCCTTCTCCTTCTCCTTC